TTAATTCAACACACCTATACAACTCATATATATATATATATTTAATTATATGCAAAATTTGTTAAATGTTTTACTACTTGTGTTATTATTATTCCTACTATATATTTTTATGTTATCTGTTAAATATCTACGATAATTAAATTTTCAAAAATGATTTATTTATTTTGAAGCTTGTTTACAATTTTTTGCAATTAAATAATAGTTTAATTATGTAAACTGAATACATTATTCTTTTTTTTTCTCAATTACAATATTTCATCTTTGCTCACTCATTATATTTAAAAACAGACAACATAAAGACGTAAATAATGTATTCTTTATATTTTATTATATGTACTGTGGAAACAAAAGTTCACTGACTTATAAGAATAGTCACTATAATATATTATATATTATGTAATATGGCAAATTGAAGTATTTGTATACATATTGGTATTGCATAATTATTTGCTGAATTATATACTATATTGAAACCTATAAAGTTTAACATGATACGTAACCGTATCTAAATGCTATTCACATTATCTACTATTCATATGTCTCTGATATTTATTTCAGCTGATTACCAACTGTAAATTATGAACAATTAAATTTGCATCTGTACCAAACCTATATCAATTCAATAATAAATGAACAATTCATATTAAGCTAATATAAGCTGACGTAATATAATTATATAATAAGGACATAAATAATACAGAACAATATATACCCATATTTTAACAAAAATAAAATACAATTTGAAACAGATATACAAATATTATGGTCCATTTTTCATTTTTCGTAATTTCTATTACATTGTTACATAACTGATTCTTGGTGCACTTCATAGATCAATATTAATTGAATAAAATTTGTTAATAATCAAAACAAAATATAATATATTAATAACAAATTATAAAGCAATGCTGGTATAGACACATCGTTTTGAGAAAAAAATATAAATAAGATATCTAATTTTTTTAACACTTTTTAAATTCATATAAATATTAAATTAAATTGCATCAAAAATCAAAATTATGTAAATTAAAAAGAGAGTATACTAGAAAGAATTTGATGCATAAATTTTTAATTAAACTGTACACAATTAAAATCACTAATGTTTGTTCCATTATTTTTATATATAACACTTCCTACGCTTAGATTATATTACAGTATTTTTTTATTTTTTTCTTTTGTAAACATTATTGTATCATGTTAAATTTATTAAACATCCAAATTTAAACTTTTATAAAGAAACATACATTCTTTTTAAATTTCAAATAAGTCTGTTTAGGAAACTTCATGATCTGCGTGTTTTTTCAAGCTATGAAATTGTGTATATGCAGCCGCGCGTAAATAAATATATACATATATATAGCAACAAGGATTAGTTTAACTATAAATACGCACGTCCTTCTTCGATTTTTAATGTTCATATCTCGTTATAATTCATGCAAAGCAACACATGCAAGTTGTAATTTGATACTGCATTATTTTTTTCATGGTTCACATTACACCGTTCATTGAAGTATAAAGCTTGAAATTTATATTAATGTCGAGATACAATATTGATGAAATATATATGAGCATCGCTCTAGCGAACAGTGCCGGGAAACAAATTTGAAAAAAGTGAAAAATAGACGCGTGTTGTGTGTGTATATTTATGTGTCCTGCTGGGTAAAGAAAATATTAAGACAGGATAATCAATCTCAAATCTCACTCGATGAGTTACTACTGGAATTATTACCACTCGAGGATGATGTTGATGGCGTTCTAGAATTGTTTGATTCGTTGGTTGCCCTAGAAATAAATACAATTGTAAACGTTCTTAATATTTTTAAAAGGATATAAGAAAGTCAAATTTTTATATGTTAAAGTTTCATGCATGTATTTTATACGTTTAAAAATATCAATTGCTATATTTAAACATATGCTTTCTATAGATAAAATAGTTAACATACCTGAAGAGAGCGACTAAGCTACGTCCTACGGTGTCCTGATGTACCTCTGCTGAATTTTGATTACCCAGGTGCTGTCTACAAATAGGGCAAGTACCGTGCTAAATACAAAAAAAAGACAACATTTGATGTACATAAATTTGATGAAAATACTTTTTATGAAGACATTTGTATTATTTCGAAATAAAATAATTTTTTTTAATTTTTCTTTAACTTACCAATTCTAACCATGGTACAATGCATGGTGCATGATATACATGTAAACAAGGAAGTTGCTTAACTGGTTCAGAAAGTTTAAAGTCCTCCCAACAAACAGAACATTGAAGCTTACTATCTGTATATACAATTTATAAAAAACAATTTATTGTCAATATTTGTATTAATATTAAATATTGTAAATTACAATATACATGTTTTACTCACCAACATGACATTGATTGACAGTTACAGTCGGTATTTCATCAATTTGTTTTCGTGGTAAGGGTGGTGGTCCAGTTCCATCAATTTGATTTAATAATTGTGTTACAATCGCATCTAAGCCATCTTGACCCCAGACATAATCTCCAGGATTTCCCAAGAACAGTCTAATATTGAATCTACATTATTGTGCTTTATTTTAGTAATACCAAATATCAAATAAAATAATAATGACTTTTATCCTGGGTGAACAAGCTTTTTAGTGCTTCTTCTTATGCCATTATTCCATACTTTGTAAATATATGTTTACTTATATGTATACTGCAAATTAAATAAACATCATTTTTCATCTATTGTTTATAATATTATTCTTTAATTTATAACTCATTGTCCTCAATACATATAATCAAATACATTTAATAAATTTTATATATGTACAAAATAGATTTATTTAGTAATCGTTCGACAGAAAACAAATCAGGATTACTATGTCACAAATCATTAGAATATCTTGTAAAAAATGTACAAATTATTATAATTTTCTCAATTTTATTATTTTTCTCATTATTTTTCTCATTAAAATTTTTTCGTTATTTTCATTGATAGCATTTATTACTTTTTTTCATATAACATTTTTAAATTATTACTTTTATTTAATTTCCATTTTCTCTGACAACACATTGTGTATGAATATTTGGGTGAAATATTTAAAATTATGTATTATTACTATAAACAATGAACGAACATACGTCTATATTTACATACTCGCATCGCACACGCGCACACATGCACAAATACCAATTTCACTTGTTCATATGCTATTTGAAAAATATTATATATAAAAATAAAAAGAATTAAAACAATATATATAATTGTAATATCTAAAAATAACTTATTAATTTAAGTAATTTAAAAATAATGAAATACATCATCAAAAGTTTAGTTTAATTTCATGAAAATCCATACTAAAAACTTATATTTAATTTTTTCTTAATAAATACCATAATATCCTGTTTTGTATGCCAAACAAAAAAGTTTACATGCAAACTTATATGAATTAAAACTGAAATTGCTTTTGAATTCACTCAGGATAATGTTTTATATAAATAACATGCAAATCAAAATCATTTTACATGAAATAAGATATTTCTTATTCGCATTGTTCAAATTAATTAGAAATGCCTTGCAAACTTTCCAAGCTTGAACAATCGTATATATGTTTATAAATAATAATAACTGCATAATAAAAATTATTATACATACACAGGTAGTTGTGCAGCTTGTGCTACTCCTTCTGAGAGATTAAGTATAAAATCTTGTATGAAATTCTCCACAGACACAGGTACTTCCTGTCTGCCACGACTGCTGTTTAACATAAAAATAAATTACATGTACACACATATTGCTAAATTAATAATGAGATTAATTATATTCGTTAACTTTTATTTCTGCATAGTTTTTCATTTTTTTTCATTTTATTAATAGACATAATCAATAGCAAGTCAATTTTTAGTTTTTGTCTTCAATATATTTGACACAATTCAAATTGATAAAATGATAAAACATATCATTACATAAGAATATAAACATAGAGTTGTATATATGTGTGTATGTGTGTCAAGAAAACAAACAAAAAGATTTCAACACATGTGTACATTCAACACATGTACTTCCGAAAAATTATAAGTGATGTACCTATTAGAACGACGTGTATCTTGAGCATTACGTGACCAATGAACTCGTCTTCTACCAGCAGGACCATTATTTCTATTAGAACTAACTGGTGTTTCAAACTGATTGGAAAACTCCATTTCATATTCCCCTCCCAAAGGAACATCTGCATAACGTTCTAAAAGCTAGATAATAAATATTTAATCAAAATAACAATTTTGCGTATATATATAGAATATAATGAAATTACAAAAGAAAAATATTAAGATTTATTAACAATATTCATATCACCTATAATACTACTGACTATATCACTATTTATTATTATCAATCAAGAAATTGTATTTACATCATCTATGTCATTACTAATATGCATTCCAGATCCACTGTCACTGCTATCACTTTCCAATTCTTCTATGAAACCACTAGAACATCTTGGACATGTGTAATCCTAAAAGACATAAAACATTACATCGAATGATAAGCAACAATGATCGTTGCGTTATTACAACAAGATATTTCATAAAATAATTTCATATATCTTCTTAAGTCTTCTCTTCTCGTATATCTGTTAAGAAAGCATCTATAGATTCAATAGGTCAATAAACAAAGTAATATTTTTTTTTTTTTTTTTAGAAAAATATTTACTTAAAAATTACTCATTATACAATGTTCAATGATAAAGAAACATATGTTACAACACATTGCGTTAACCTCGTTTTTTAAAGAAATTAACGATCGATATTAACGAAAGTATGTAGAAAATAAAAATTAAGAAAATGGATATAGTATTTAAAATACATATTCAATCTAGTTAAGCATAATCTATACCAAAGTAACATTATCTTTTATAACATTGAATTAAATGATTTTAATACGGATACGTAATGGTAAAAGTAAAAATATAGAAAATAACGAAAGAATAGAAATATTTATACGATTTTTCTACATGGGACAAAAAGATAGGAGGAAAAAAGCTTTTGTCGCGTGATACCAAGTGACAATTCGAAACAAAAAATTTAAGGTTTTATAAATAGTGTTTCGTTTAATAGCACGAGCTATTAATGTGAAAAGATGGATAAATGTACTTACAGGTAATAAACGTTCAATTTCGATACTGCATTTGTGACAAAAAAATCGGGACATTGCCCCGTCTACAACGGCTTCCGCCATCTTTTACGTGTCCTCTTTGCTCCTCTTGCCTATTTCTGACTATCGTGATGAATTGTAATCCGTCACAATTCTTGGTGTACTTGATTACGTTTTATGCGAATGCCGAAACAGAACTGGAAAACTACTGATTTTAATAGATACTTTACATAGCGCGAGATGGCGTTTGATTAAATTAGTCGATTGCGCATCAATCTTTCATTATTATATTCGATTACAATCTTTTAGCTATTTTATTGTTTTCTAATTTCTATTCAAATTTTAATCTTTTTCTCATGTATTAGCTATATGACACAGTAGCTTTACGACTTTATCCTTTATTTTTATTACATATGAGAACGTTTGCTGAGTGAGAAGACTAAATTATCTTCAAAAATAGATATTTTCTTTTTTTTTCGTATATAATAAGAATCTTTTGCGTTCCATAGTAAAAAATATATCAGATGTATGTAATTAATTATTTTATCGATCATTAATGCGTACGTACATACATATCGCTCATAGATTTCAAATGCATTCAAAAATATATATTATAGGTTAGGTATGTATACTGCGCATGCACGCACGGGTGTGTATGCATAACACTTGATCATTTATTTAACTATTCATTTTTATTCGGGAACTGTGCAAAGAAAAAGAATGTTAATTAAAAGTATACTCTAGTAATAAACAATCTTTGAAAAAATATGATTAACATGTAAGATTTTTGATATGGTATTTATAAAATCATTATCTAATTATGAATGCATTATATGATGTGTGTGTATATATATATATATATATATATATATATATATA